CACACACACACACAGAGCGTGCCTGGCTCCCGTGCCCAATTGACCGCGCTCTGGAAAATTTCCGCCCGCCCGCATCGCGCATCGATGCGCAGCTGCCATGCAGCCTCGACAGGCCCAGACAGGCATGTGGGCCTGCAAACGTCAATTCCCCGGCCGCAATCCTCCAACTCGCCCTCGACCCTCGAGCCTCGAGCCTCGAGCTTGGAGCCCGGGTATCGATCGACGCGCGTTGACGATGTGCGCAGCTGATCAACGCTTCGGAGTCGGTGTCGGTGTCAGCAGCCGATACCGGACGGCCACCTTGTCTCGCCCAAGATGGCGGCGGCATCGATAAGAAAGTTTGTCTTGATCTCTCCGCGCTGCATTTCTTGGTGACGTTGACGTGCCTGAGCCCTCCCCCACGCTCCGTTTCTGCACTCCAGTTGCTCGACCCCGCCTGGCGGCCATCGGTTCTTCTCAACGCAGCTCGCCGTCATTCAAGCTGGAATGGCGCTCGCGCGCAAGCAGCTCGGGATCGACGCCTCGCTACGCTAAGTCACGACAGCCTCCTCGCATGGCTCTCCAGATCGAGCCAGCCGCGCTGATCCCTCGTGGCGCCCTGCTTTTTGCGGGTCTCCGCACATTCTTCGCACCGACCTAACATCCGGCACCTTTTGCTAGAATCTCACATCTTGCGCTTGCATTCACATTTTTGGCCATGTGAGGTCGTTTCCTCGCCAGGTTTTCAGGGTTTGGACCCTGAGACGTCAACTTTGCGAGCGGCAAGCTTCTTGCCACCATGGCGGCCATCATGGGCTCCACACCACGCACGAGCTGCGACGGCTCGGACGACGGCGATGAGGATCTTCCTGCGTGTCCGTCGGCGCTTCTGCACGTACGCCCCGCGCGCGTGGTGGCCGATGTGGACGAGGAGATCTTTCTGCTCTACACGCTCCACGCCAAGGCCGAGCACGACGGCGGGCTGGGCTACGTCAACCACTCGGCGGACCGCATCTACGTCGCCATCGATGGCCAGCGCTGGAAATCGGCGCTCAGTGCGCGCAATTTGTCGGGCGCCATCGTGGTGCATCAGGACGTGACGAGCCTGCGCTCGACCAAGGGCAATACGGGTAGTGTGCTCTGGCGCTCCACGGTCGAATTGGCGATTCGCTTTCGCACCGGGGCGCTCTTCGACCTCGCAGCGCTCAGGGACGCGAGTGTGCTCGAGCTGGGTGCGGGGACGGGCGCATTGCCTGCTTTGGTCGGACCGGTATGCAAGACGTGGTTGGCGACGGACCAGCACGATCTGGTGGCGCTATTGGACAAGAATACAGACGCCCTACCCGGGGTGCATACGGCTGCACTCGACTGGTTCGATTTCCACAACCCACCTTCCTCGCATACGCTCCAGATCCGCAAGAGCGACATCTTGAATCGACTGCACTCCACCAACAACGCCGGTGACGCCGTGGTCGACTTGATCATCTGTTGCGATTGCATCTACAACCCCGCGCTCTTTCCGGCGTTGGTCGCAACGATCAATGCTTTTACTACGCCCAACCATACGCTCGTGCTCGTCGCGTGCGAGATGCGCAGCCACCACTCGCTCGCCGACTTTCTGCACGAGTGGCAAGCCTCCGATGCCGCCTGGACGATCCTCAGCCTCGAGAAGCGCTTCGACAAGGGATTCGTCACGCTCGCGGCGTGGAAGTCCTAGCATTCGCGTACCAGAATAGAGATGTCCCGAAACGCTTCGATTCGTCACGGTCAGACGTGGTTACACATTGTACACTAGACCATTCCATAGAGGAAGCCCTTTGCACCTCGTTTCAACACTGTCGCCACGAAAGCTTGAGAGTGCCTGCGCAAGAGGTTGTGTAATGTGTCTGAGCGGGGGCCGGGAGAGACACCTTTTTAACGTTCGCTTTGAGGGGAGCTTCTTTGCCATCAGCTGGCTGATTGGGCTCGTTCCAGTATCCTTTGACACGCGGGTAGAGAGCTTGTCTTCGGCATTGACCGTGCCGAGATACTGTGGTGGGGAAATCAGAGGTAAGCTTCTCGAAAGGCTCGAGGGAGTGCTTGTCCGACATGGCCTTTTCCGTACGCCACGAGTACGTTCCGAGAAAGAACCTCAAGGCCGCGTCGTAAGCTTGATGAAGGCCTAGCTTATTTCAGGTGCGATCGAGCCAGCCTTGTAGGCCTGCGAGCTTGCGCTAGGCGACCTGCGGCTGCGTGAACAACACTTGTGAGGCGCTCGTTTATGAGCTGGCATATGCGCGCGTGCCCACGGAGACCACCCTTGCCCAAGCTTTGAGCGGAACGCTGCCGAGGGCTTGGATCTGCTCGTCTTTGGAGTTTGCTGCGAGGTCTGTATTGGAGCCTTGTTGAGGCTGATTGCTGCACCTGCTCGTTCCATCTCGCTTCGCAGAGGCTCTTGGCGAACACCTTGTTAGAAACATCGTGGCACTGATCCCCACAAGGTGGCCCCCTTTTTGCGACTCTTGACGCTTTGTTCGCCCGGCTCTTGCGCTCTCGTGCCAAGCTAGCTGCTTTACCAGCTTGACGTCAATCACACTCTCGTTGCGCAAGCAGTCGCTGCCAAGATCTTGGGTAGCATGAAGGGATCGCCTGGATTAGGCTGCTCAGGTCGCTTCTCGAACACGTTCCGCTTTTACCGGCAGACTTTATGATTCGGGCAGGCGATTCCGAATAGGCTCACGACGCAATGTTTCTTGATGAGAACTGCTTGGATTTGCTCACACTGCGTGCACGGCTGATGGTTCCAAATCGCACCATTCAGCCGTATGTGTATTGGCTGTCGCCACGCGGCGTTTCACTCGAGCGCGCAAGAGGCGGGCAGCTTGATGTGTCGGCGCGCGTCAGAGGTGTGCGCCGAAGACCTGGTTCTCCGACCGCCCACATCGGCCGTAGGAGCAGAGGATCGCTTTGCACCCCACTAGAGCTCCACAAAGCCATGGTGATGAAATCGCGACGAGACACCATGGTTGTCTCTCATTCGAGCCCGGTGCACTTGTCGAGAATCGCATTCATCACATACTGTGGGCGGTGTTGGTGGCGGCGGAAGCGAGCTGGACAGCCGGACCTTGTGCGCCAGAGCTAGAGCCAGCGTATCGAAACAATTCGTCGCCTCGAATCGCGCCAACTCGTCAGTCTGGGCCTCGCGTCGGTCACAGCTCAGGTCACCATTGATCGGCGCGCGAGTGGTCCAGCTCCGCGCTTCGACCAGCATCTTCCAGTCACAGGTTCGCCGTACAAGCTGTCGTCGTGGGGCCGTTCACGTTGTGCCGACGCAGCCATCTCACGACCGCACCGATGCATGTCCAAAGCGCCCGCAAATCCAAGCAAGAAAGAACGACTCGAGAGGACATCGTTGCCTCAAGTCGGGCGGGCTTGGTTGGCGCCGACACAAGATGGTGGGTTCCATCATACCCATGTGACATTAACATCTCCATTCAGACGTCGATCGATGCTTGGTTCTGGGCGACAGGCTGGTGGCGCTCGCTGCGTCGCCTGTGAGGCGAGCAACCCGGCTTGCTTTCAAGCGTCCATCGATCTTTGGTTCTGACCTTGCCAAATCTGTGCCGCGCATTCGCACAGTGCCATGTATCTGTAAGCCAGCCTAGTTTCGACCTTGATGCCTTGGCGACGCGCTGGTTGCACCATCGTACTCGCTACACCGCCCGTATCCGACCGCACCATCAAACCGAGACAGCCACGCACCTACTATGCACTCGAACATCACAACAAGTGTGGCTTGGTCCCCACTACACGCACTCAACCTCGCGACTCCCCGCGACAATGATGGGAAAAAAAAAACCCCTATTCAAGTGCAGATTGTCCGTGCCTACAGTTGGTCGGCTTCGGGTGCGTTGCAAGCACGAGTTGTGCCATCATACGCGACATGCAACTCGGCACACGCACCCAACCTCGCGTTTCAATTCAAGCGTCCTTGCTTGCTGCTTCTCGGCCGCTCGCAAGGTGGTGGCGAGCCGATAGCAATTGCAGCCGGACGAGCGTCCATGCATGCCTACTTCCCCACCCGGGGTGCAGTTGTGCAGAGCTATTGCAATCGCTCACTACACCGCCCATACCGGACTCGGCCACCACAGCGCCACACCGACCAACCAATGCCCTCAATCGTCACCCCCCTCAAGTCTCGCTTCTTCAAGTCCACACGCCAACCCAAGCGCGAACCGATAATATTTTTCCATTCGAGCGTCCATCGTTGCTAATCTCGGGCATCGGGAATTCTGCGCCGGCCACACCGACAGTGCCAAGTCCCCGTGGGCTAGGCAGCCTAGTTCTGCCCACTGGGCTTATTCGGCCTCTGCGACGGGCTGTTGGCGGCATTATACTCGCTGTTCCCCACCCCCGACTGCGCCACAAACCCGGGATAGGGCGCGCCCATCATGCTCATGTGCGGACTCGCTGCAAACGGCATCTGCATGCCCATTGCACTCGCCGGCGCCTGCCCCGGAGATCCATGTCCCACCACCGAGCCTTCATGCGCCTGCTGGAGCGCATTCATATACGCCATCTGCGCCGCCTGCATCGCCTGTTGCTGAGCCATCATAGGATCAAACCCGCCCGCCATCTGACTGCCGCCGATTTGGCTGCCGCCAAAGTTCATCCCTGGCATACCCATGCCCATCATCCCCATCCCGGGCATGCCGGGCATGCCGGGCATGCCGGACATCATGCCGGACATCATCATCTGCTGGTACATCATGGGGTTGAAGTAGGCCATCTGCTGCATCTGCGCCTGCTGCATCTGCTGCGCCTGCTGCCGCGCCGCATCTTCGTCGCGCTGTCGACGCTCGGCTGCCACACGCTCGCGTTCGCGCTCGGTAAGCGTCGCACCGAATCCACCCGCACCCTTGCGGTCGCGCTCGTGCGCCGTAATGGCTCCCAACAACCCCGCCTGCGGAGGCGGAGGCTTGTTGGGCACGTTGACCAGATGGCTGCCCATCGCACGCGCTTCGGCTTCCTGCGCCTTGGCCGAGCGCTCAGCTTTGTCCTGCGCACCTGCCTGCACGAGACCGTGCGGCGTAAAGACCGTGGTCATCGCACCAGGCTGCTCCTCCGGGTTGAGCTGCAGGAACGTCTGCCGGTCGCGCACGATCGGACCCTGCGGGGCCTGCGGCGGCGTGTGCGAGCGCCCATCGTCGCCGTGAGCAGCCGCAAGGTGCGTGTTGAACATCGACTGGCGCTGGTACGCCTGGATGGACGGATGCGTCATGCCGCCCCGCGCGGGCGACTGACCCGGCGACGCACTCCGCGAACCGCCCAGCACACTCGCGCCGTAGCCCGACGCCGAGCGAGGGAAGGCACCCGGAGCTCCAGCCTGCCCAGCGGCGTCGTGGCTGCGGCCCAGACTGCCCACCGAGTCGGCGAGGTTGACGGGCGAGTCGGTGCCGGGTGCGCCGCGGCTCGAGCTAGCCGCCGAGCGCACCGCGCTTCCTGCACCGGCACGCTGAGCCACACCCGAGCCTGCCTGCGCAGCATCGGCGGCATCGTCATCCTCTTCGTCATCCTCCTCCTCGTCCTCTTCTTCCTCGCTGTCGTCGACCCAGCCGGGACGGCGCAGGCCCTTGGGCTTGGCGCCGCCAGCACGGCCAGGCTTGGAGAGCGCCTCCTGGTGCGCCTGCGCCTGCATCTGAGCGATCGACTTGCGCTCGGCAGCCCGCTTGTTCTGTCCAAACGTCGACGGGTACTGCACAGCCGCAGGGCGAGTGTCGAAGCTCGACGTCCCGTTCGTCGACACTGGCGCCGTCTGCGTCACGATGGGTGCGGCAACGGAAGGCACGGGGCTGCGTTCGGCGTCCGTGGAGCGAGGTGCGAGCTCGGCGGTGCGAAGCGCCGGCGAGGGCGGCTGCTCCAAGAACGAGTACGCCGCGAGCGCATCGTCGTTGATCGAGTCGTCGGCCGTCTGGTTTGCCTTCGACACGGGTTGGTCGACTGGCTTGACGTGGTGGTCCTGCGCAGGCACCACTGCAGCGGTGGCCGGGAGCGCCGGTGCCGCCACATTGGCTGCCTGTGCCTGGTCCGACGACAGACGGGTGGTGTGCGTGCTCTCGGACTGGATGGCGGAGGTGGTGCCCGATGCGGGCGCAAGGCTCTGCGGACGCGAAGCGAGCGAGCTCTCCTTGGTGACCACGGCGCGGCTGGGACCCGACATGACGACGGGCTGTGCGGTCGCGGCAGGAAGCTGATCGGAGATGGAAGCCATGTAGAACAACGCACTCTCGTCGTAGTTGGTGGGCAGGGACTCGCGCCTGGCACCGCGCACGTCGTCCGAGGTGGTCTGTTGTGCGCCCCTGCCGGAAGGACCAAAGACAGGGGCAGCACGGGCGGCAGCGGGCTCAGATGCCACGGTGGGAGAAGTGGCGTGCGATGTGCTGGACGCACCGAGGTAGGCGAGCGAAGATTCCTGCGCGTGTGTGGGTTGTTGGGCAGTTGGGCTGGTTGCTGCAGCCGGTTGCGATGTGGGCTGCACAACGGCTGCAGGAGCTGCGTGCGCGTCGTTCGAGACGAGCGTTGCCGTCTGCGGTGCGGCAACCGGGGCTCGGTTGACAAGCGGCTCGGCTGCGGCGAGGCTGACGGGAGCCACGGCGCCGGCGGGACCTGCAGGGGTGAGTGCAGCCGGCACGGCAGCAGTGGCGGTCTGGGTCTGTGCGCCTGAATAAGTGGGCGGCA